CCTTTACAACTATATTCAACTGCTGCTGTAATTGGCGCTTGCAACTCAACACTTAAAATCAGTTTCACACACTTCCCCCAGTCTTAATGGCATCTCTAACAACCAGAGAGCTGTCTCTTCTAATTAATTCCTATTAACAGTATCCGCATCCATTATTTTTGAATAATTATTGCCAGCTTTCTGACTCTCTGTGGTCGTTTAACAGAACCAGCTGCCAAAAAAGCCACAACCAAATCTACCCTTCTGCAAACTCTTGGAAGCATGCCCTTTCTCTACTACTCGGTATCAGAATAAACCGCAGCAGTCACATTGTTCCCTTAGATGAACTACCACTACACACACATGACGACTGCACGGCCCACACCTCACCTCTGGCTGCTGATGCCAAACAATGCTCATCCGGTGCACGGCCACTCTATACAAGAAGTCTCGAAGTAGTAGCAGAGGTGCCAAGTTCACCAGGCCTTCCCCTGGCTCTCCGTTTTAATTTGCAACCTTCCATCCCACCTCAAAGGCTGGTATCTGTTGCCACTGATGTAGCTGGCAGAGTTCTCAGTAGCATCTTGATGCCAGACACACGGCTTACCTTAGACGATCACCTCCGTGCCAAAAAAAAGGTCATAGAAATTTTTATTTTTCACCCTTTCGGTGAGCTGGAATGTTGACGTGGACTTTCACTCACATCATGGAGGATGCTGTCCTGCAGGCTGTGGAGGGGAGTCTGAGCTCACTGAACCCTCTCACCACAAAAATGCCTTGCTTGGCTGGGGACTCACAAAGATTATTTTAAAATTTAGCATAATACATTTATAAATCTGTGTAATATGATGTGGTAAACTTTAATAAACAGGTTCTGGATGCCGTCTCTCAGAATTACCTTATGGCTTAAACTTTCACATACCTGGTTCCCTTGGCAAGTGAAGCAGGCCAAAGCTTCCTGAAAGACTCCAGAAGTTCATCAACGCAACTAATAGTTATCCTACAGGTGGAATTTTGGCACTGATACACAAGTGACACTTAAGTGCAAAAATGCCCTCAAGGAAGTGGAAAAAAAATAGTTACAAGATTCACCAGAAGCATATCCCAGAAGAAGCAAACAAGCAAACAAATGAACAAACAGTGCCCTCAGTAACTGGATTGTTGAAAAAAGACCCAAGGGGAAAAAACAAATCTAGTGACATTCAAGGCTGGTTTACACATGCAAAGAATTTTGCCCTGTACCTATTCCTAGAAGAATGTTTCTCCTCTGCTGTGTGAGATCTTTTCCTCCACACCCACCCACCCAGATTACAGGGTGAGATTTCTTCCCCTCAGGCCATTCCCCCCACTCCCAGCTTGTCTTCCCCAGAACAATTGCTTTGCTATCACTGCAGAGTATTCACAGATCTCCTCTCCTACACCCAACCAGGAAGGAACTTTCTCCCAACCTCATCCTGGGAAAAGCCACAGCTGCCACAGTAGCTGCACTCCTTCCTCTTGGGAATAATACACAGCCATCTTTAAAATTACAGCAAACAGAAACACAAAAAGTCTCCAGACCCTCCCCTCCTTTCTTACAGTCAATTATTTTAGATACAACTGACACACATACATCAGTTTCTTAATAGCCAATGGTTATGAATCCCTTCATCATGCTAGGAGTTCACATATTTCACCTTACAGAACACTCCTGATCTATATAACATCAGAAATTAGGAGGGTTTGGGGTTGGTTTTAAGAAGTTATATCCTTACAGTATTTTGTTCTGATTCTTCTCAAGCAAGCTTAGAATGGCCTTCCAGCTTAGGCCCAGGATAAGGCAAAAGTTTTGTCCTACAACCTTTATTCTGTGAGGAACTACAGCAACATTTTATATTCATTTTAGAAATTGACTGAGGATTTTGACACTTGCAGCTACTGTACTGTCATCTTAAATTATATTGCTTTCCATTAAATTGTTCATTATTAGAAGATTCATATCAGACAGCTTAGTACCTGAAATCGTACAATACAAATTCAGTTTTTTCTGGGCCATAAGTCTGAAATTTGTTTCTGAATGAGAATCAAAACAGTGATAAAACAATTCCTACAAGTTACACTACTGTAACATAAATGCAGTACTAAAATTAAGCACAGTGGCCTCATGCACTCAGCTTTCTTTTTTGAGCATGAATTTAAATTACGAGCTTTATCCTTAGCAGGTATGCAAATATACTTTTTCATTCACATTTGGGGAAAAAATTAGACTAATTAGTGTCAACAGACAAATCTGAAATGTAGTTTTAAGTCATTTTTCACCAGAATGCATTTACAGCCACTTTGAAGGCATTTAGAAGGAGAGTATTTTGCTGTATTAGTCAAACACTTGTTACTCTCTGCTTGTTACATATAAAGTACTTTGTTGCTAATACTATAGTTCATCACAAAGCGAGTAATATTTCAAAATAGTTGACTTCTCATCTTGTCCATTTTCTCTAGGAAAGCCATAATTATTTCATTCTAATTTATTATAAATGCCAAATTGGACATTACAGAGGGCAACTGGTGGCAATTTGGCAAGACAATTTGGCTATTTCCAGCCAAGTAACAGCTTTGCAGTAAGTTGAGTTTCTCGATAAAGCGAAGTGTGTTTATTACAGAGAACTGCAGCAGAAAATTCTTGCCTCTACGAAAAAATGGCACTGAACATTCCTGTGCATCTCCTGACTGTTACATATGCAGCAATCTAACCAGCAGTGAAAGTATTCTTCAAGTTTTTCTACAAATAAAAATATACCTCAAGATAGGAGGAAGACAGAGTTCCTGCCACTGAACTTGCTTACAGACAGTCTCCTGTATCTTTCTGTGCTTCAATTCAAATATAGATGTTTACTGACTTATTTAATATAAATTGACATAGTGGGCTAAATTGTTGCTTTAAATCTGATACCAGTCAGCTGTCCAGCAGTATTCCAGATACGAAGATACAGGTGAAAATACAGGTCCAGTAAGGCAGCTGGGTCAAAAGCAATTTATTCAGAAGAGACAAGACTCCTTCACATTTCAGATTATTTCGCCCTTTCTCATTTTATGACACCTTACCTCTATAGAATACAGAATGGCCACTTGTTTCTCAGTTGCATAATCTTTTTAGGGTTATAAAAATTTTGTGTAATTGCAGACAGAATTTAATCAACACTGTGGCTGTTGAGGCTTGGTATTATGATGTATACCTTAGAGCTGTAGAACCACTTTGATTTTAAAACATGTTCTCCCTTGATCATTTAAGTGTTCTTACTTTCCCCTTGTAAAGCTACATTTAAGAAAAAAATAAAATCACAGAACTGAGCATAGAAAATAAACCCCCAGAACTTCTCCTATTCTACTAGAAATATAACTCGTACATATATATGTTATTTATACTAATAAGAGATCTTTATTTTCTTGCTACTCTTTCTCCCTTCCCTTACTTTTTTTTTTTTCCTTTTTGCAGACAGACCAAGTAACTCAAACTTTCAAGACTTGAGCAAAATAGAGTAAAACAACTTAATTTTCACTGCTGTTTAGCAAAAGGGTTAATTTTCCATTAACATTCCCCTTAAATGCTTGTATCTCATCTGCACAGTTCTGCATTCAGAAAAAGCTGCCTTTGCCATTTGAAGAGACAAAATAGCGAGTGTAACCTTGTGCTGACGTATGCAATTAGCCCAAGGTCAGTCAAGGATAGGGAAGCAGCAGAAAGTAACAACCAGGAGAAATTACATAAAGCTGAAGGAAGGTGGTCCTTTAACTACTCAAGGCTGACTTTTTTTTTGATCATTCATTAAGTCTTATCTCTTGTGCACCTGCCACCTTTAAACTTGAAACCAGTCCACCCTTCCCAATTTTTTTTTTTTTTTTAATTTTTTTAAAGGTACCTTGAACTACCCATCTGTTACATCTCACAAAGGACAAATATCAGGGATCCCTCCAAACCTTGTGTTCAAGTGTGAAGCAGCCAGTCATTAAATACTGACGATGCAACTTTCTTCATGGCTGAGATGCAACAATTTCTCTGAAAACTTGACACATAGGGAAAAAAGACAGGAAAGCATCACATTTACTAAGCACTTCTGAAAAAAACAGAAACATTACATGAATCAGCAGGACACTGTGTTTCATTAAACTGCACCCAAGTGAATTTTCTGTCGTTATATGCTTCTAAGAGAACTCTGGCACTGAGCTGAATCTCCTAATCTGGTAAAGCCAGTAGAAGAATTTTGTGCCAACATTACTAGGTTAAGATATTGTGCAATCGGTCTAAGGGACCAACTTCTGCCCACCTTCTAGGCATTTATTTAGTAAAAGGAGGTCTCCTAAAATAAGCCTGTCCACAGACATGTCAGCGTCTTGTGATGCTCATGCCTAAGTTAAATCTAAGTTAAAAGGGTCATTTGAAGAACTGCAACTGTCTAAAAAGGATTAGGCAACTAATCTCTCAGTTATCCACACAAAATGGTGAGAGCATACAAAACCCCTCCTCACAGGAACAACAAACCCATACCTTGACAAATGCCTAGAAATAGCACTTTGATGATTCTGTGAAAGAGTTCACATGGTTAAACTTCCCATGACCGTAGCGTCTAAATTAGCAGGCTTTCAACAGGGTCCATCAGAAAGCAAATCAGAAGTACTGTGCAGGACTACCAGGTATGTATCACTGAGTACTGTAACAATACGGACTTTCCTTTTCATTAATTCGGATACAATTTTTGCTACAGCCCTCTGCCTCCTACCACCAAAAGCAGAGAATTAGTTTAAATTTTCTTCCAAAACTAAGTTCATGACGCAGAGAACAACCTCCTCTTATTTGGCTGTAGCAGGCCTATCACAAGAGCACAAGTGGCATTTATCTCAATGGAGGCCTTAACTACTATTCTAGTTAGCATACAGGGTTTTGGTAATCAATCTTCAATTTTTAAGTATAGAGAGGCTTGGCTTTTCTACTTTAATTAAAACAGGCAACTGGAGATTTCTTCTCAAAGAATAAATAGAACGCTAGGTCAGGCAACAGTCATTTATTTATTGACTTAAACAAGCAAAAGGTATCCTCAGACATAATGGCCACCACTTGAGCAATACAAATCAATGCTACTGAAGAACAGGGAACATCTTTTCTCTCACCCCTCCCATCCCAGAAGTAACAATAGAAATAGCAGGGCCCCTAGAGGAAAAGAGAAGGAGAAAAATTATAAGAGGCGCTTAGAATGAGCTGCAGAGTTGAAACATGGCCACTAAAAAAATCATTTGCTAATCTACCATATCACCACAATCACCTCAAAAATAACTTTCATCGTTCCATTTCTACCAGGTACCAAATATATAGCGCTGTTTAACAGCGATTTCAATGTATTAACTGTCCTCAGCTGAAGCAGAACAGCAATTACTATTTATATTAAATTTGAGGCTGCAGATAGAAAGAAGGGTTTCCACAGGGTACAATGCAAGTTAATGACAAAAGAGTAGGGGAGAAACAAAGCTACTTTTAAGTCACTGTACGCCTCTATCAATCAAGCAATTAAATCTGTACTGATAGCTCATTACAGACACAATATTCTGATGGAGTATGGCAACTCTACTCACCCTGTGACAGTGTATCTGAAGAATATATCTATAAAGAACTTATAGATAAGTACCTTAAGTTGTGGGCCACTGAAAATCCCAGCCTGCTACTCCTGTGTGGGTATTTTCTAAGCAGACATCAGCAAAAAAAAGCAAAAGACTGCATGAAAAACGATTGTTGCTAAATCATTTAGTCTTCCTTGTAACAGTTGAAAATAAAAGTAAGGCATGAGTAAGGATTTAGAGAAAACATTAGGAGGCTGTAGTTTTGCAGGCAAGGAGACCTTTTATTTTAATCCATTAAAAGAACCCAAAATAGTCAGCAGGTGGCCACATCTATCCATGTTTCATTAAAATCACATAAACCCTAAGTACAAAAGCACCACTGATTATTGCTCTAGAAAAACCGCATGAAAAATTCAAATACGCACAGTAAAAACATCACCATATGCACAAGACTTAATTTCTTAAAGCAAGTGTATGGAATGCTGATCCAATTTTACACATACCTTGCAATATTAAGTTGATATTTATATTACTCGGCAACAATGGGAATTTCTAAAAGCACTGTTATGAGAAGGGAAATGTTCATATACAGTTTAATATGTCAACTATCATAGTCCTAAAAAAATTAGCATTTACAAAATACTTGATAAAAATATCTTTTAAAAGTTGTCCAAGAGGTACATAAAATCAACCCAAAATTTTCATGACATTTCATTCATTCTTGTCACCTACAGATTCAGTTTTCTGAGCCTGTGGAGAAGAAAGAAAGAAATTAATTAGTATGGTAAAATGCCATTACATACCTAAATACCCAAACTACCCTTACTTCTTCGATTTCTTATTTGCAACAGCTCAGTTTCAAACCTATGTCCATATGACATTTACACAAACAAAACAGGTACGTTCACACAGTTTTCTTAAGTTACTGGTCCCAGCTTTTCAAAAGCAATACAAGCCTTACCTGTCAGCTTCCATGGTTCATACTGAAAAGCACCACACTACTATCTGTTTCTATTCACTGCACACATGCTGAATGCTCTATCGTACCCTTAACTTTCACTGTTTCAATCTGCCCTTTTACTGACAGTGTGCTGGGTGGGGCACCTCTGGATGTTGAAACACTAACAGTTGAGCGAGAGATGCGAATCTGCAATAACATTATGGGCAATAAAAAGAAACATTATGAACATGCTATCAATGTCTGAAAGGCTGAATAATTAAAAAACACTGATTCAATCAGCAGGAGGTATGTGTGGAAAGTACCTCTTCAGCTTTATTTTCACCATTTTCAGATGGTGTAGTACCTTCCTTTGCAGCTTCTTGCTTTTCATCCTTCTTCCCTTTAGCACCTTTGTTGGCCTTTGTTCCAGGTTCCTTCTGACAGAAGATTAAAAACATGGGCATAGACATTGTATGAGTCGCCAGCACCCTACGTCTTTATCAAAAAACCTTCATATGAACTAAAAAGCAAATCTTGGCAAGCTGCATGTGCTGGACTGAAACAGAAAAACAGCTAAAGACTACCTGGGAAAAGGTATATCCACAGAAGTTATATAGAGACTCTCAAAATCTCTAGAAAATGCTGATGACTGCTTCTTTACTGTTTCTGCTAATTTACAGGGATACAAAAACCCCTCAGACTATTTTGGTAGAGCTGAGCTGTATTATACAGAGGTATATACAAGACATCTGTATAAGCAAATCCAATTACAGTATATTGGAAGCTTATTCAGCCAAGCACAAACAACACACTGTTTGTATAACAGCACTACACTTTCGATTAACATGAAATATTAAATTAGATTTAAAAAATTAGGCATTTTTGTTGGCTGTCCTTTTGTTAGTTTGATAACATCTGTGATGTTCATTCCATGTCAGTGAAAGAACCAACCAACACACTAGGGAGGCAAACACTGATAAAATTCCATCTGCAGCAACACAAAGCACAGAATTTATCAAAAGGAACTATTCTAACAGCTACAGTTTCATCTGGAGATTTGTTCTTAACCAATTCATAGGTTGAGTCTACTTTTTTTTTTTTTTTTTCCAATCCTTGCTCTATGTACATATTTATATTTGTGATCTAAGGCTAGTAGAGACATAGGTTAAGGATTTTAAGTGCAATGGGATAAAAATTTCAATGGTATTTAACTGACTGTTTCACATTAGTATTTAAAGTAGTTCTGATAAACACTGTGGAGATCTTCCATGTGATCATTTGCTCCCAATTCTCCATGCAAAATGGCAATAGTAGCTGTGATCAGGGATATTAAGGTCAGTCTCCCTTCATCTACTACCTTTCCCCAGTGATCCCCATACAGGAGTGGGGCAGGGAGGAGGGCGTGCCAGTAATCCTAGTTCCAGGGCAGCCTGAAGTACTTCTTTCACCCTTCACCCTCAACTTTACATGGTAGCTGTGGTGCAAGTGTAGTCCTAACTCTTCACCTACAAAAGAACACGCTAAGGACCTGACTTTGTAAATCCGTAATTTGTAACTTTTAGTGCTAAAAATTATCTCAAAACTGTACCATCCTCGGATGTTTAGCTACACAAGCTACCTTCTCTTTATTAATACTCTTTTTAAGAGGGGAGCAGGATGGACTCAGTAAGACTTTATTGGTCATTTCATTTGATAAATCATCAAAGTGTTCAAAATCATAGTTTTACTTTCACATATAGATTTTGTATCCTGATACTTGCCCAAGTGAGATACCAATGAAAGGACTTGAAAAATGTAAGCGTCAAGAGTGTCAGACTCAGTTTCCAGCATGTTTTTTATTTTTTTCCAATAAAGCGATCGCTCTTATTTAACATTCCCCTCGGGCATAAATAAATCTACAGTTTCTGAAGTACATGATTTATATGCAGAAATCCTGAAAAGGTATTTCAGACACTAATAAGATTTTAATTTGACTGTAACTGGCCTAGAAAACCCAAACCATTCAATTTAAATATATTTAATTTCACCTTTAATTATAATTGTGCATTCTCAGCAATGGCCAGGATTCAAGAACAGATGAGAGTTTCTCTCTACGAAATGAAGTATTGCCCTTCTAGACAAGGAAACAGGATGGCACAATCTCAAATCGTAATGTAGGAAATGCTAGGTCTCAGGTAGATCTTACTCAACCAAACCTGTACATTTCAGAAAAGGTGTAGGAAAGGTAAAGATTCTTCTTAAACTAGGAATTCACTACAAACTAACATGGTCTGCATATCAAACAGGCAAGACAATTTGTTTGGGCCAGTAATGAGGCCAGGAAGGGGTAGTACAGAAAGAAAAGAATGATCTAATTTGTGTTTTTTTCCCGGGGGGGGGGGGGCGGGGGGGGCAGGGAGCTGCAGGGAGGGCAGGGGAGCCGATGCCTCACAAAAAAAGCTGAGAACCAAACTGTTTGCAATGCAAAGGAGGAGTATACTTGCTTACTATTTGCTACAACAATGGCAATTAAAAAGAAGAGTATTTACCTTCGTGGTTTTCCTTGGTTTGGGTTCAGGTTTTGGTGGAGCAGGTTTCTACAAAACATTTTTAGTTGCACAGTGTGTTAGACATATTACCAGAAGCCAGCCAGCCACCTCCACACCCCAGCCGCCTCCCACCTTCCCTTACTTCCTGATCATTAGTATGCATCTAGAAAAAGACTGAAGAACCTTAATGTACAAATGCACCTCGTCACTGTACACTCTCATTTTCATCATCTCACTCATCTAGCAGTCAAAGCAATTTGGAGGTCATTCTAAGAGTAAAACATGGAGATTAGTAGTATTAAAAAAAAAGGTCACATATATTCTAACAGAGAAGTGGAACTAAAACCAACTACTAGTAGTGGCATCAAATGAAGTCCTTGAAGGACAGCTGTTTCTCCTTCCCAGAGAAGCAGCTGCATTTCCACAACTAACATCAGTCTGCAAAACGATACAGAGTCAATACTGCACATAACCGACAGAGTTGCTGAGATGGGGAAATACATCTTTTGTCAGAACAACCTGAAACCTGAAAACCTGAAGCCAGGAAAACACAGATAACTTTAGCGCTAGAGTTCTTAAATATCCCTCAGCAAGAATAAAAACTGGATCAAGCAAAATATAACAAACCTGTTTGGTCTGAGAAACCATATGTGCCTACAAAAGTATATACCAAGAGGTGTTATACATACTTACAGCTGACAATCTTGCTGATCGTCTTGTGGGCTACAGAAAAATAAAAAAGGAGAAAACATTTTTATAGACTTACAGCAAACAGTATCAAAAGAAACATAGTATCAGACATTTCATGGTGACAGCATAAAAGACGCCCATAAGTGTGTCTCTATTGCTGAACACAACTCACATCTTCCTCACCTTGGATGATCAAAAGTTTAAAGGGACAGAGTGATGTGGAAATTAGAAATTGTTCAGGAATTGTAACATCTAAATCTCCATACGGTTAAATGCTCCCCTCCCCCCTTATTTTACAAGTACTTCTAAGTCCCTTGCTGCTTGATGTGTCACAACTACAGCACAAATACAGCAAAGCATGACTATCTGTGCACAGGACATCAAACCTTTCTCATAAATACTTAGAATGAGTTTCCATAATCTAGCAGATGCTACTTGCAAGAGCAGGTAAAACTACCACCTGATTAACAGCAGAATGAAGCTAACATCCTTCCCTAGGGGGTATCAGAATGCTAAAATCTCAAAACATGGAACTAAGTCCTTCTACTTCCTCAGTTCTTTACACAATTTGAGAGTCCAGGTGCACAAATACAGCTGCAAGATGAGAGGCAGAAATTATTTCTTCTATTTAAATACAATTCTCAAAAGAAGAGAAGTCAGATATTCTGCTTTCCTCCACCTTCTTTTATCACTTCTACATACCTTCCTTAATAAATTTTACTTCACTCTGTTCTCTGTCATAAATTTATTACTGAAGATGAGTTAAGTCCTAGAAACAGTTGTAAACTCATTAGTTTGTTCACAATATCTTTGCATTCATTAAAACTGATGAACCCATGATCCAGTTACACAGCATGGTTATCAGAGTTAAAGTTTAGTCTGCATCATAAAATTGGAATCACACTTGTAGCCAAAATAGAGACAACTCAACTGCAACAAATATCCAATGTAACACAGCTTAAAAAGTGAATAAAAAAAATATCTTCTTAATTACATATTAAGCATTTAAGTTGAGGTGAAAAAACATGGCCCCACAGATCTTGCAACAGGAAAAATCTGTTGCTAACACCCAAAGAATGCAGTAATTTGTGTTCATTGGAGCTATTTAAATATTCTTAGTGGAAAGCAGTAGTGAACAGTTCGGATCAGCATCCAGCAAAATAAAAGCCTGGTCAAAAAACACCAAGAGAAATTTTCAGCTATCAAATATTTATGCATCACTAACAATCAAACAAACAAACAAAAAGTAAACCTATATTTTCTTAGCAATGTAGAATATAAACAGCTTGTTAAGCAGCCTAGCACTATTTTACAATGGGTTAAATAAAGCATTTCACTTGGTCAGATAATCAAGGAAGTCCTAGTTCAAGGTATCTTACAAATCTGTTTTCTTAACTGATTATTTCTATCCCTCAGCATTTGGGCACTGGAATGCTTTGTTAGCATCTACTTTTTAAAGGATAATAAGTTGTTTTAGATAAATGATAATTGTCTCCCATATTCCCCAACTGTTCCTGTGCCATGACTGGTTTCATAAAAGGCTTGTATTACCATAAGAAAGCCAGCATAAACCCTCAGTTCTTTAAAAATGCCTAACGGCTAAATCATTTTCATTCTCAGAGTTTGTATGTATTTTGTGCTACCTGATTATAAGGAGGGAACAGCAGTCAAGTCAGCAAAGGTCATATTTTAATGTGCTTTTGGAATCTTTGTTCCCCTCCAAAACCAGCTGCACTAGCCCAGACACTAGCAGCTCACCCAATGGTCTATTTGACACTGGCCCACTAACAGCCATTATGGAAAGAGCCGATGAAACAGAGCAGACACAGAACAACACCTTGCACTTCCCTACTGCACCAGCTTCTGGCAATCTAAAGTGGTGAACTTTCCAACCTGGATATTTTAGCCACATCATGGAGGGTCACTTTCCCTGTAAATTTATCTAATAACCTAGTGAACCCATTTACACTTTCAGTTACCATAACATCCTGTGGCAATGAGTTCCATAATAGGATTATGCACTGTGTGGAAAAGAAAAAGCAAAACCTTTCCCCTCTGCTGTCTTTCCTTTAAACTTCTTGCCTCTTACTTTCACTAGATTCCTCTTGGGTTTGGGTATCATGAGTAATAACTCCCTAACTGCCTCTCTCTGCGCTACTAATGATTTTATCATGCCTCTGTTATTCTTGACTTTTTATATCTTAGAAAACATCAGTTGTTTGGTTTTATGTTTTGGGTTTTTTTGGTTGATTGTGCGGGTTTTGTTTTTTTCTCTTTTTTTTTTAAAAAAGCTGCTCTGCAGCCTCCGTTTGTTCCACTATACTTGGTATCCTTTTAATTCTATCATGGCCTTTCTAAGAAAGAGTCAGAACTTCACTTAGTAGTCCCACATTTGGGAGCACAACAAATTAATCTTGTGACACACTGATGTTTTGCACCCTGTCCTCTAGTATTTCTTCCTATACTCTAGCTACCTTCTGCTTAGAAGAACTGATGTTGTCTAATAACTATTCACTGTGATTTCAGTCTCTCCCCTGATTAACAGCTGACTTGGTGACAATCAATCACTGTGTCTTCCCTTCTCCCCCATGTATCAACTCGCATTTCTCCATAAGGAATTTCTACTGATATTTTATCACCTAGTTATCTGTGACATTACAGCCTTCTCAGTTTTTCTCACTTCTGACTACCCTGGTAATTTTCTGTAAACTTCAGCAAACTTTGTAGTTTCTCTAGTACCTCTCCTCCTAGATCATTAATAAATACATTCAGCAGCACAAGCCCAAACATAAATCCTTCCAATACTCCACTGATAAATCTCCTCCGTTATGAAAATTAACTACTACTTCCCCTCTCTCTTCTCATATGTTTATCTGTTACCAATTTTTAGGAAGATCTTCCCTTTAATCCACTCTATCTTAGTTTATTTAAGAACCTGTTTGGGAAGCCTGATCAAAAAGTGTTCTTTACATGCAAGTGAACTGTATCAATTGGCATGCTATCATCCTTATACCTGCTGACTTCTACAAAGAACTCAACTGCCTGAAGTATGACTTCTCTCTGCAAAACTCATGTCAACTCTCCCATTATTCATTTGTCCACATATACTTTTTATTTTATTTTTTTTTATTAAATTACTTTTTCACATCGGACTCACAGGCTTTATCTTCCAGAATCCCTTATCTGAAGTCCTGGGAGCATTTCATCACCTTCGATTACTTTGGTAGTTGCTGGTGAATACCTGATCATGCTCAACTGCCAAATGTCCCCAGACTGTACACCCATGAGAAAAGGCTCCACTGTGAGAACCTCCCTAAGAAGTCTCCATAGCAGAAGTTTCATTACTGTTTCTCAGCTTCACATTTGCCATGCGGAAGAGTTTGCTCCTTTCCTTATTATTTTCCATCAATACAAAAAAACACGTTTCAAAAAGAGTAAATTTCCCTTCTTTTGCTATTAAGCCATTGTGGATTTGGGGTGGGGGGGAAGTTGGGGCTTTTGAAAAATAATATGCATTTCTACAAGCCTCTAGCGTGGTGTACCACAAAGCCTCTCTGCCACCTGAAATCACTAAACTTTTTAGCTGTTCCTTTTAATAGGCTCCCATTTTTAATCAAATTCCCTTTCAAGGTATCAAATCTTACCATGGTGGAGTTTATTTGTAATTACATTCCTGCAAGGATGATGAACCTGAATATATTATGGTCACAATTACAGGATAGTTCTCTGACAACTGTCTTTTTAACTAGCTGTCGTGGTTTGAGCTCAGAGGGCAACTGAGTACTACAGAGCTGCTCACTCCCCCCTCCTCCCCCAGGGCTGAGAAGGAGAAAATTAAGTAGAAGGCTTGGTGGTCTGAGCTCAGAGAGCATCTGAGCATCACACAGCCGCTCACTTCTCCCCTTCCCCTCTCAGTGATGAGAAGGAGAAAATAAGCCAGACCTGGGATTCGAGACAGGACAGGGAGGGGCAAATCACCCACTATGGTCACAGGCAAAAGGCAGACTCCTTAGAGGAAGAAAAAAAGAACGTATGTTTATTACAGACACTATCAACACTTAACAGAGGAAGACAGTGAGCGTTACCACATCTTGAGAACACCTTCCTCCCACCCCTTCCTTCTTCCCGGGTTCAGTTCTGCTCCCGATATCTCTACCTCCTCCCCCAGCAGCACAGGGGCAGGCAATGGGGGGTGCAGTCAGTGCTGCCGCTTCTTCCACCTTCGGTGGGGGGAGCTTCAGGAACTTCTTCCCCCTGCTCCAGCACTGTCTCCCTCTCACAGGGGACAGTCCTCCACAAACTTTCTCCGAAGTGAGTCCCTCCCACAGGCCGCAGCGTTTCCCTCACTGCTCAGGCGCAGGACACCAACTTTCTCTCACTGGATTCCCTCCCATGGCTGCAGCCCTTCCCAAGCTGCTCCGGTGTGGGACACCCCCGCATGCTGCAATCCTCCCAGCGCTGAATTACAGCAGCGGGGGCTGCTTCTTACCACAAGTCCCTGGCCTTCTTCAGGCACAGTCACCTTAGTCAGCCATAAGAGGCCCCTCACAGCCCATAAATCAGTGTCTGCTCCACCACAGATCTTCATGGGTGGCAGGGGGGCCCACCCTGCTGTCTCACCACAGGATACAGGGGGGTTTCTGCTCCGGCACACCTCCCCCCTCCTTTCCTCCTCTGCTCCTCCACTGACCTTGGTGTTCACACAGCTGCAGCAACTCCTCCTCACAAGTCTGACTCCTCCTCACCACGTCCCTTCTTAAATACATTATTGCAGAGGCTCAGCTGATTGGCTCAGTTTTGGTGCAGAGGTGGGGCTGACTTGGAGCCGGAGGAGCTTCAAGAAACTTCTCACAGGGGATGACCACTGTAGCCCCCCCCTCCCCTGCTACCAAAAAACCCCACCAGTCACTCAAACTCAGGACACTAGCTCCTACATATTACTGAGGACCAAATAAAGGGCCAATTATCCTTTTTTCGGTCCTTTGATTTGGTCCTACAGGAAGCAAGTATTTATAGTTTTAAGTTTTTTGTCTTTGTAATGCCATTCCATGCCTTTTACCAAATCTCTGAAGGGTAACTGAAATCTCCATCAACACTATTTCTGTCCTCAGAGCCTCTCTCATCTCCCTTAACATCCTATTGCCACATTTTATTATTGTGGTCAGATGATACCTGGCACAATTTCTACATTATATACTTCCCATTTACACATGGCTTGGCAACCCATACAGGATTCTGCTGTACTTGTTGATGCAATTAACCTAGAGAACTTACACGTAACAGAAAGCCATTCTACCAGTAACACAACTTAGCTCTCAACCCCGTATAATTTGTGCCTTGGTGTCACAGTGTCCCAACAAGTTTCTGAGTTACCCATTATATCAATGTCCTCATTTAAAATCAGATAGTCCAAGTTGGCCAGATTTAGATTTCCAGCTTTTCTATTTTGGCTTGACTGCCTGTCTTCATAGACACGAACTAAACAGGACTTTATTTCTCAAAGCTGTTCTTTACCCTTTCAGATGCAAACTTTTATGGCTTCTGTGGTAGCCGCTGCTCTCCAACCCAATATGGAGCTCTGACTTCACCCTATGTGCCCTCAAGAACTTGCCACTCTCCCCTCAGATGTTAAGTTTACAATAATTCAGATCTCCTCAGCACCATCCGCACAGGTCTGTTTTGGTTCAGGCTGAAGCCACCCTTCCTACCTAAATTCTAACTATTACAAGAGCTCCCACAGATTCTAACCTAATCCTACAACTGCTTTCCTCATTCACACACTAAGAGCTACATGTGTATCTACTGCGATTATCTTAATTTGGTGGTTTCTTTTTTTTTTTTTTTCTCTCTGTAGCATCAACACCCACTACTATCTCACCTTGACTGAAGACTACTCTAAGAGCTCTCATGTTTCAGAGTCAACAGGCTCTTTCCCCAGAAATAGACAGAATACACAGAGAGACTCTGTATTTCTGTAAGCTTATTGGTCTTTCTTCTTTATTCTAGCAGTCAGGTCTCAAATTTTTAGGGAAAGGAACTTTTACTGTTCTGGCTCTTGAAGAAATAATATTTAAACTTGGACAAAGAAAAACATTCGTTCAGAGCAAAGGAGAGTATATATTTTTACTATGATTTAGTCAGCTTTTTAATACTTTACGAAAAATAAACTAATTAATCTTCTAGGAAATTCCATAGGAAGATACTGAGGTATCAAAATCTGTTCCTCTCAGACCTCCTTTTTACTCTACCTGTTTCTTTCATGAGCTTATTGTAAAGATGCTTTTGTTTGAAATATTTTGATATTTCTACTGTACCATCTTTTTCTGCTGGACCTAGAAATAGCCAACTTCTCAATTCAGAAAGTGTAAAACTTCATTGGACTATTTTTCCTGTTCAAATACGCTCCAAGATTTACAAGAAGAGCAATTAACTGTTAATTCATTTGAATATTCACCTATTTCTTACAAGGTTGTGATTTAACTTTGTCTGCCACAAAAGATGACAACCTAAGAAAATTAATCCTAATAATTCTCTACCTGCCTTTTTTTTTTTTTTTTTTTTTTTTTTAATTCACATTAAGGGCTGTGACAAACAAACTAGCAAACTTTACCGTAGAGGTCAAGATATCACCAGCTGTCTCCTTGCCTTTTCTGACAGAAGTTACTGTGCCCATAAAACAAATTCAGACAAAGAAAACACACGAATGTGTCAGCTGCTCCAGTTCGGAGCCTGGTGTCTTAATTCAAGACACCCTTTCACCAGTCACTTAAGCTAAGAATAGTTTTGAAGTAGACTGGCTGAGGTGTGCACATTAACCCTCTTCTGCCAACCTACTACAGACAGAACAACAGTTCCAGGCAGTAACATCCTACACTGCTGCCACAAGATTCACCAGAGCTTGTCTATCAAAACCCACAGTGTTTCTGAAATTAATTTTGTGTACTAATAAGTTGTATGAATCCTCAGTACACCAAGAAAACAAATTATACCACACAAACTACAAATGTGGTTTACTGTCATTATTCCCAGTGAAAACACCTCACTAGAAGTGCCAGAACAATGCACAGTCTTCTGACATGCAAGACGTCAGATCTCCAGTTAAATAATTACATGCCAAAATAAATTAAGAAAAAAAAGGAATATACTTGCCTCTTGTTTAGTTACTTTTGCTGCATCCTTGCCTTCAGCACCCTCTGGAGACTGAAAGAAAATATTAAGACAGTGTTTTTATTACAGACTTAAAAGCACCCAGACAACATCAAAACAAAGATTATGGCTAAGATTCTCCTTTCTATACATTGCAGCAACTTAAAGAGGCCTGGCAAATTTACATTAGTATTTACAAGCAGCATTGTACCAAAGCCATTCCAGATTTTCCAAGCAAGAACACACAAGGACTGATTACCACCAGGTATATACATATCATATCACACAGCATCCCTCAGTGGTCCCTCCAGCCAATTAACTGAAGCATCCGCCAGCTCCAGTGGGAGCTCCATCTAATCAGCAGTTGGTAGCACAACAGTATGAACTGGAAATCTGAGGTTTGCTCTACCAGGGCTTTTGAAATCTGTGAGAAATTTAACATGTTTCTTTCCAAACATGAACTTAACTAGTAATGAGTTGTGACGAGATGAACCAAAAAAGCACAACATTACTGAAATGAGCGATTTCTTTACTTCATTTACTCCTTTTGTGCCTCAGGCTCACTCAGCTGGAAGCTTTAACAGTGTCTTTCCCTCATCTTATTTCCTTTATCAGAACAGCAAAAATCAGTAAAACGCCAAGACACTGACAGGAAAGCTAGGGACAAATATGTTTCTTCAGAAGAACAAAGTATCAACCTGACCTTTCTAATCCTGGTCTTCTAGAGGTACTAGAGAAACATCAGTTAAACCACGGAAGCGGGGGAAAAAATAAAATCAAGCTTCTGTCTTTTGTTTGCAACTCAAGATGTATTACTTCACATTTTGCAAATAACTGGGTTTTCACCTAGGCGCAAGCGATTCATGGAAAAACAGCAAGCACCAGCCGTTAGAGGAGCACTACAAGCATGGCATGTGTTTCAAAAAGGCGTTTAACAGGCAGCAGAGAATGCAATTTGGTTGCTGTTTTGTTTTTTTCAATCAGTAAAGGAGCAGGCTAGTTATCTTTTCCCTTGTCTTTCCATTTCAGTCCTAGCCCAAACCTCCCACCAGATTTCGGCACGGAATGTCTCAGTTACACAGTTATGGTTTAGAGCAGAGAAACAGACGGGCTAGTCTGCAGCAGTTGACCGCTGCCTTCTCCTGGCACTGGGCTCTAACATACTCACAGAAAGACACCCCCCCACCAGAGAATAAAAACGTGGCTTTGTTACTGTGCGCTCTCCTGACAGAAAAGAAGCGTGCCACAAAAGCGGCTGGTTTAAAAAAAGCCGAGGGCTGATCATCTAAGTAGCTAGAAAACAGCAGGAAGTTAAGCAGCACTGAGCAGCGTAGAGCAACTCAGAATAGCAACAGCCTGGCATCCAAAATGGAGCCTGACTGTTCCCTACACTACTGCAGCCTCACCAGCCACCTGCAGGATTGCTTCAGGTTTGCATTCTTAAAAGCCTTTCAGTTTGGTTACTAAAGAGTTGCCACAGCTTGACGGCGTGATGCTGGGAGCATCAAAAGCCATAAGGAAAACAAAACCCAGTATTTCATGATCGCTGTCAGTAGCAAAGTCTTGTTTCATACAACCTCCCTCTTCAGCTCATGAAACAGTACAAGCTCTGGGTATAGCTTTTCTGTAGTCCATGATTTCCTAACATCTGTTTCTCCTGTATGAATTTTCTCAAGTCTAACAAACTTGCCCTGCATCCTTTTCCCTGGGAGGAAACTCAAATAGCATCCTTCCTGTCCTGGGCACCTATTTATAATGGAAGTTCTCTCAGATTTTATAATCTTTTTCCTCATAGCGGCCAAGAGGCTCTACAGGGGTAGGGACAGAAAGACAGCATGATGCAATTTCCTTTGCAAGCCAGGCTAAAAAACTCACCATAAACTAAACGAAGCTGAGTGACACTCCACGATCAGGCTGTTTTACCCTACTCCACTTTTAGGAACCACAAAGCTTTGAAACAGGGCTACATCATCACAAGACGGCAATGACACATGCCAATAGCCTTGCAATAATTGCTCAGGAGCAAACTCTCACCCTCCAAGACTGCACAGTTAACATACAGTAATTTACCCCACTCCCTTTAGCAGTAATTAAAGACAAGTCTCCTATATTTCTGATAGACGGGGCAGCCTGATTTTCGATGCCAATATTATTTCTTGACAACAGATTTTAAAAACTGCTCACAAGGCTAGCCGCAGGGGCAAAAAATTATATTAAAATACTCTTAATGCAACCCCTGTATACTACTATGATATATTACACAACATACTTGAATTAAGTTAGCTAATTAGCCCAGCATTCTTTCTCAAGTTAGAAAATCCAACAGCAATTCTTGAAGGCCACATAACGTTCTCCATGGAGGGAGATGCACAGTAATCATCTCAGAGGTGTGAATAAGCAGCAAGGGGGTTCTGACACACTCGTTTCCATTTCAGACCTGCTCACTCCCCTCCGCAATCACTACAAGTCCAGGTGCTTGGAGGCTGCGCTCACCCTCCCAGGGCCTTGGCTCCCCAGCATGCTGGCAGAGCTGCGTGGGAGGCCGTGTGGTGAATAAGGTAATTGATCCAGCTGAAAAATAGCCTGCTGCATAAACAAATTTATAAATGTATATACAAATTATAAATATATAGTCTTCATTGCTCCAGCAGAATCATTTTACTGCACAGCTGCACAAACAATTGAGCCAGTAAAACAGACAAGAATGAAGTGGCATGGGGCAGTTGCAAGCAGTCTGGGACTCTTCAAGCTGACAGACACACCAAAACCCTATGTATGTCAGATATGGCCACAGCATATATGTTAAAAGAGAAACAGAAATTTATTTTCTCCTCTGTGAGTCCTGCGTAAGACATTCCTGTGAGTCCAAGCTGATGTGGATCTTCATGCTAGTTTTTGCAGTACCTTCTCCTCTCCCTAGGGACCAGAGAGATTTGTACACGAATGGATTTGAGCCAAGCACAGTTCCCGGCATGCCACATGCAGTGACTGACTGCACTAGTATCTGGAAGTCACACGACTTTTAGCCAGATACCACCAAAGCCTTAAAGTCCTTGTCCCTAACTCTTCCACAAGAACCCTTTCCCCTTATTTTGTCCTGGTGACAAACTACTGAAGGAACTCTGGTTTCAAAGCAACCAAACATACTAAGTAGCCCATCCCCTTGGCACGTTTTTCCACATGACGTAATGCTATGGCTCACCATATTTCACATGACACCCCAGTCACATTAAAATGCACCCTGGACACGGCGCCTTACATCGTAAATTAGTCAGGAGCGGGACTGTCCCCACTGCAAGTTTTGTGCAGCAAAATCAAAGACCAATGCAAGCACTGAATCACTTGACAAGGGCAGTACTCCAAATTCGGTAATTCTTCAGCTGTGTTCCATCATATGCCTACTCATAAAGTAGTCCCTATACGCCTGCAGTGCTTGACACTGTATGGATGTCTACAAGAGATGAGACAAACAAAAAAAGCAAATAAGGACACAGATAGTAGTGATTTTAATTTTTTTTTTTCCCAATCATAGAGGCACACAGAAGGAAAGAAGCTGACTGTCTAACTCTAAATATCATTTTGACATTTAAACTAAAAGCAAGTTTTAGGTTCAGATGACCACACATTGTGTCATACCTCAATTAGCACTACATATTAGCAATAAGATTGTAAATTAAGCCATAGCTAAGCTTCGTAATATCTGTCAGAGCTGCATAACTTTTATACCACAATATTAACCTGGAAGGTTGCATCGTGCAAGATTCCCTGTGTCTATCAGCAATCAGCTTTTTTTTAAAATTGTTTTTCCCCCATCCCTTTTTAAGGACAACCTATAAAATTATTTTGAGAGGACTGGAGAAAAACAAAGGAATATTAACAGATGATAGAGAACGTTAAAAAAATAAAATCAAAGGAAAATTGAGCTTGTTTGTATACAAAGTTCTTGCATTTCACCAGCTTTGTAATATACACAAGGACCAGTGTTTCCACATACCAGGACAATACTGTGGTATCTGCAATGCCAACACCATTACAGAACCGTTAGGTTGAAACCAGAAAACTAGATAACTGATTTAAGGAAACATTTAATAAAACATACAGGCAAATTTCCTTTTTTTTTTGTTGTTTTTAAGGCTGAGTTACCTGGTAGAGATGCACCACAAAAAGAAACAAAAAGCTTAAATTTTTCTAATCAAAACCCTATAATATAAGCAGGATGTACTGAGAGTACAGTAACACAAAGTAGTAAAGTTATCAATGTCTTTTTGAGAGACGCAAAGGTACATGTTTTAACTTGTGACCAGCTTCTAGTTAAATATTTTGTTTGTACTGAAATTAATGGATTGTAGTATTATAAAGGAGTACATTAAAAAGCATGAAGAATGAGAATACAAATATGTGAGAAGCAACAGTTGGTACAGAAGGTTGCTTATAAAATGAAATAGATCATTCAGTCTCTGAATGATCTTATTTCTAGCCGAAACTCAACACCTTGACTCTGATGGGACAGAAATTAGTCCTCTCATACCCATATGAAGAAAAAAAAAAAAAAAAAACAGAATAAAATAGGCATCTGCTTTTTCAACAGCCACATTAAGAAGTTAGAAAAGCAGAAAGCCTTGACCATGTGAGCACTTGAGCATTCTCTATAGCATTTCCTCCTTTCTTTGCGAGCTGTTTTGTTCAGCCACATCTCGATATGCTGCCTGCAATGGGATTTGCCTACTGATACTTTCCTGGCTCCCTATACTAGCTACAATTTCCATGATGTAATGCTTTGGTCATTCCTCCAACAACTTTTTTCACCAGCCAAAATACAATAAAAGCTTGCAAAAAAAACACAGTGCAAGAAAAGACGACTATCAAGCCCTAAGCCCTTTTCAGGGTTTACTGCATAATTTCCCTAAATTTTTTCCTCCCCTCATTTCCCTTTGAGTAGAACTCTGCACTAGACTAAATTTAATTCAATTAATTGTTTCCCTATACATGCTAGATCTTCTAATTATTTGTCTTCTGAGCAGCTCTGAATTTTGTGCCAGTTCATAAATGTAATT